TAAGCATTTAATCAAATGCAAAATGAAACAGTGAATTTTTAACTTTTACGTGCTTCTGTTGTAGATAAAAAATCTACAACCCTCTGAGGAAATTGCCGAATCCAGAAGAAGAAATTCTAAATCAACTTTTTCTTTTGGAAAAATTGCTTCAAATGCATTATTTGAAGTAATGAAACCCCAATGCATACACCCAAAGACATGAGACTGAACCAAGCGACCCGAGAATTTGTTGTCTCACTCACTGTCCGCATCTCTGCTTCTCTTCAAAATCATAAGATAAGTATTATGATAGAGGGTTAATACGGTAATATTTGTAGAAGGAAAATTGGTAATGGAATTGCATAAGAGAACAATAAATTACCTGCTCCTTAAATATAGTAGATTTTCATGGATGGCCTCTACTGCGCCTTCAAGTTTTCTCAATTCGAGTTCTATACCCTGTTTGGATGTCAAAATATGAAGTGATGAACACACAAAACAATTATTGGGTAGCTCACATTGCTTCGCCTATTAAGAATCCTATTGGATTCAAATTAACATGGATAGAAGCTGGTACAGCGGAGGTTTGTGGAATTCTCTCCCATAAGATGGTTTAGTAAATCCCATATAGGGTCGGTTTGAGCCCATTTGTCTACCCTCTACCTCTATAGTTGTCCAGCCCGACTTGATTTGAGGGGATGTGTTGTATATAGAATCGGTTGTCTATTGGGTTTTAATTGAGTCAAATATATAAGAGTGAGCTAAACCTCAAATCTTTTTCCAATTTGAGGCAATTTGAAAAAAATGGCTTTCCAAAAGACCAAAAGTTCATGTACATCTTGAGCATACCGCTTTTTCAACTCACTCAAGAATCAAGAATTTAGAAAAAATATCAAGTAGGCAACACCTTGAGTTCAACAGGTAATATACTAATATCAAGTAGTTCGGATGTTTACTTTGAGAAAGCTGGATCCCTCCCTACCCTCTGATTGGTTAGTGGATCTTTTTTTGCGGAGGAGATGTTTAACTAACTACTTTATCTCTATTTCATAGTGTTTGATAAGAAAATAGCCAAATATGTAGCTGATCATGCAATTCTATATCATCTCAGTTATCTAAAAGACACAGTTAAGAAATTAAGAATGATAAATCAATGCATGAAGTTAGGATGGCACCTCTATCTTCTCCTTTCTTGCAACTGATTCCCAGTCCTTTGCAGCAATTCCAGTTTTCCAATCAAGGTTAACACTTAAACCCCCACCACTAGGACTATGGCCATCAACCCAGAAACAAGCCAGATAGTTACCCGCTTCTGTGGTCGTGAAAGCAAACTGACCATGTGTCACGTTCTCATGATGATGAAGGTTGTTTCCATATGGTGACGTTACCTACATCCAAAGAGAAGATGAAACTATAAAAACTAAAAATTAAAATATAAAGAGGTCCAGTTTTATGACATTATCAACCAAGCAAATGGACACAACCTATTACTTCATCCACCCTCATTAAAACTAAAAAGTTGTGCATCAAAGCGTTTTTGCCCCAAAGAGAGACAAGTTTAATCAAAAGAAGCTACTTTTCATGTAATTTGTAAAAACATTGCAAACAACGAGTCAATGAGTCATAGACAAGCTACACATGACAAATTTAGTTCAACCAAATCTCATAAAAGAATCCAGCTAAGCAATGGTTTTTCTCATCAAACATCACTACAATGTTCTACCTCTACGAGATATTTGACACATTTCTTAGAAAAAGTGTCCGGATAGCAAATCATTACCACCTAAAGTTCCAATCCAGTTTATATAGTTTCTAAACCCTACCATCACCCTTCTAAGTTTCTTTTATTCTAGCCTGTTTTACTGGTGATAATGTAGTTTCATCAGCTGGAAATGGCAAATTGCTTCCAAAATTTTCATTTTTCTAGTGTTTCATAACAATGTAAAATATCATAAGAGCAGAGAGTACTGTTCTAAGCTATAAATGTATAGTGCCCCATTCAGTTTCTTCCGAGTTAAAGAAGAACACTCATTATTTGTTCTCTATCCAACAGAATACGAATCTGGTAAAAGTGAAATTATAGCCCTCATACTACTTCAAACCACACAACTCTTGTGTCACAAATCCTTACACCAAATCTTTTATTGTACCCCTTTCATGCCAGTGTGCAAGCTGAAAATTACCAGAAAGCATACGGAAGCCATCTAATGAGACAAATTAGAGCGGAATTTTGTTTTATAAAAAACGCACCAAGCTCTAAAAGTGATTCATATCGAAACTTTGGAATGAGAAAAGATGTATACACTGCACTAGAGATAGAAATGTCCTGAAAATGAACTAACCGACCTTGACGGAGATGGTGGGAGTGGGGTGGACATGATCGTCGGAAATGACGACGTAATCGGCCAAAACGACGACGTTGTTGTGGATTTCCTCCGAAACACATTTGGTGCCGCTCGCCGGAAGATTCAACCATATGGCCTCGCCTTTCTCTAAGAGAACAGACAACAACACCAATGGCAGTGCCCACATCACCCAACGACTTCCACACATTCCAGGCTTTTCTACCACCATTTCCTTCTCGGTGTTTAGCTCTAATATTTTTCACTATATAAATATATATATATGTGTGTTTGTATATACGTATCTGCAAGCGAAGCGTCTCTCAATTCAGCTACGGATCGAAGAGGACTCTCTCCTCTGATGGGTTTGATTCGGCTCTGCTCACCAGCGATTGATTTATTGTTGCTTGGGGAAACAGAATTGTAGGAAATCGGAATCTCGTGAACGCGACTTGAGCAACAAGATGATGTTGCTTGTATTACTCCGTATGATTTAAAGTCCATCATATCCTCCTTAATAAATAAAGTAAATGTCATCTGATGGCATGACTATTGACTAGGGGTGGACCGTTCGAGATTAGGGTTATCTTGGTCCCAATCGAATTAGTAATAATGGTAGGAGACGTTACGGGACAAACATTTGTTCTAGTATTTCTAAAGTATCATGCACTAAAATATTAACATTTTAAAAGTCAATCGATGTTTATTAGAAGCTATCAATCTACAAAAACCTAAAAGCTATTAGATTTAATTAGGTTTAACAAAAATTGAAATTGAAATTTAAAACAAAGCATAAAATGAATTAATTTATTCAAAATTATGTGTTCTAGTTATGAGATACTCATATGCAAATATATAAAGTGAGATAGAAACCTATGTTAGTAAATATTTATGTAGGTATTGTTTTTTATTTAAAAATTGTGCTTGAAAAACTAAAATCATACTCCGTACTATCATTTATTTATTGAGTTGACACTATAAACTAGTCACATGCTAAAAAAATTATATAGGCATTACAAACGGGACAATGGGACGGTTCGGGATAACCTTCCAATGTCCCGATCATGTCCCATTTTAAACCGGTATGGGACCGGTGTGGAACAAAATGAACGATTCCCAAACGAAACGGGATAATACCGGTACGGTTCCGGGGTATACCGGAATGGGACAACGGAACCGGGATTCTTGCCGGCCCTAGAGTATTCATTCGAAATGTATTTAGAGCCCGTTTGGTAATACTGAAATCGATTATTTTAGCTGATTCTGCTAATTTATGGGGGGGGGGGGAATTAAAATATATATTTTTAATAAAATAAAGAAAAAATTATATGAAAAATAGCTAAAATGATATTCTACAGTAATTTCAGCCAATACAACCAAAGTAACTTTAACCTTATTTTTTCTCATTATTACACAATTCAGTACGCGAAATAAAAAATTATGTGTTTGGTGAAAAATTGACCGATAAGCTTAATAAACCGAAAAATAGGGTCATCAAACAAGCTCTTATTGGTTAACAAATACTATGTACTATAATGCATAGTACTCCTTACTAAATAATACTCCCTCTGTCCCGAAATTATCTCCATTATTTCCTTTTCGGTCCGTCCCAAAATTATCTTCTCTTTCCTTTCTTGGTAAAGAATATGTGGTTCACAACCATTCTTACACATTTCTCTCTCCTCTGCACAACTCTCCACCACACAAATCACACTATCTTAATCCCCGTGCCCAGTCAAAACCGAAGTTAATTATGGGACGGAGGGAGTAAGTTATAAACATAGTAAAAAGTGCAAAACATAAATTCGGAGTACGATAACAACAACAACATCCAAATCTAAATCACAAAAGAATTTGGGGTCAGCAAATTCGGAGTACTAATGACAAATATAAGGGTCTGATTACTAACAGAGATATTTTCCAGTTTTTCAGAAAACTGACAAATTGAAAAAATGAAATCAGAAAACGTGTTTACCGTTTTTTTATGGAGAACTGCAAGAAGGAAACAGGAAAATGCGTTTATCAAATCATTTCGATAACAAAAAAATGAAACATGTCTTTGTTTTCATTAATGAATCGGAAGAGTAAGTTTTACTAGTTTTTCAAATTTGGAATACACGGATGTTGCAATGGTGCTGCAATGAATTTGCATACTTACGCCTAGTGGTGGACCTGGTCCTGCTTCGGTCTTAGTTCCGCTAGGTCCGATCAACCACCCAACGGTCGTTGTCTGGTCCGATCGACGAACCAGGGTCCCTGTCCGATCCAGTCCACGCACCAACGATCCCTGTCCAGTCTGGTCAATGACCCGATAGACCCTGTCTGATCTGGTCAACGACCCAATGGTCCTTGTCCGGCCCGGTCGATGACCCGGTGGTCCCTGTCTGGTCCCGTCGACGACTCGATGGTCACTATTCCGTCAATGATTCGACAGTCTCTTTTCGATCCGGTCAATGATTAGGCGGTCCCTGTTCAGTCCGATCAAAAAATATGATGAACATGTTTTCATATTTGAAAATGAACAATTGAAAAATGAAAATAGAAAATTAAAGATAGATTAACTAAAAAATTAAAAAAGAAAATTGGAGAACGAGAAATAGAAAAGAAAACTAGAAAATTTCCCGCCAAAGATGTTTTGTTAGTTCACATAATCACATCTATTTTATATCTTCAGAAGAGGCCCAACAAAGATATCCAGTTCATTTTACCCGTAGTATATTTTTAGTCCCCAACAGACTTAGGGCTTTTAGTTTCTCATCATCGGAAATTGGGAGTTAAGATCCGACACAGATCAATTATATCTTCGGAGTGGCAGGTAATTTTCTGCATAAGGTTTCGGTCTACGTATGATCTTCAGATTTTATATGTAAAATAGTTTTAAAAAGTTCTTATGATTAATGCAGACGAAAAATTCATCTTTGGCTTTTTGTATTCAAATTAAGTGATTGGATTGGATTGGATTGGATTGGATTGGATTGGATTGAGCAGAAGGTAGCAGAGATGGGTAGGGATAGGGATATGTCGAGGTCACCAGCGTATAGAAGAAGGTATTCCCCGTCTCCGTCACCGGTGGTGCACAGGTCTAGCCACCGAAGCCGTCGAGAGAGAATTCGATCTCCTTACTCGCGCAGCAGGTGATACCCGATTACTCACATCGCAGCCCTATACTGTTAATATAGTATCTTTTAGCTACGTAAATGCATTTTGAGCAGCGATCCTGGAGCAGATTGTGTTTATTAGGCTAATGAAGTTCACTTGTCTTCTTGCTGATTCAGTTACAGTTTGCTCAGGCCTCTTAAACATGACAGTGTTGCTACCTAGGATATTTTCTTTTCTTATAAGGACTCTCTCCTTTGCTAAAAAAATCCGCACATCGTATTGAGGGACCTTAGTCCTTAAATCATACTGGCCACAGAGTATCTTAGATTTCCATATTCTTCTCTACATAACACATATTTGGGCTTTGGAGTGTTATAATAGGGTTTGTTTTACAAACTTTGTGGTTAGCGAAGCCTTTAGAATTTGGAACAGAAGTCATTATAAATGTAAACGGGCACATGGGTTTCTTCATGTTAGAATTTAAAAGAACAGTACACTTCATTTCATTGGGAAGCAATCAGATGATGAGTGCCGGTGGGTGTCCTTTGGTTGACATTGTCAGTCCCATATGATAAAAAGATGCTGCTCACTGTTAATTCTTGTCAATCAATAAGGTAATTGCATTTTGTTTTGATATTCGGTTTGCTGGTCCTGCTGGTTGAGATGAGACGTGTTTGATGCGTGAAACTTGTAGCCTCTGGTCCTCGATGTTCTTTTTTGCTCAAGTAGTATATGTTTCTATACAGAAAAAGAAGTCGTTCAAAATCCCCAAGACGCCACAAAAGTCGCTCTCCGGTTTCAAGGCGTCATAGAAGACAAAGAAGTAAGAGCATATCCTTGTCACCTATTGGTAAACCTCCCAGATCAAGTACTGCTTTAAAAGACCGGAAGGATGATAGTGAAATGCTAAGAAAAGAGGAAGAAGAGAAGAAAAGGTATATGTGTAGTTTTGTATCTTTCACTGGTACCTTTTTGTTTTTCTTTATACTTTTCTTTGAGTTATTGTGTCTTGTGCGTAAACTTGTGTAGATGGCTTTGATGTTTAAGTATTTCCTTGTTTGGATTGAGTTGTGTGTATAAGAAAGAGTAATGCACATCTTTTAATTAGTTGATTCTTTGTGCTAGTCAGCTATTAAGTGATGTGGTTCTGTGGTTGATATGGCCGTGTAAGATCTTATGCTATTCCTAATACTGGTTTCACAATCCACTGAGCTTAAAGCTTTTGATTGCGGGGTTCTCAAATGATTACAATTTGCGTCGACTCTTGGCATTTTTGGTTGAGTAAGGGGTGTTTAGAATTGATTTTAGACTTTCAAGAAGTATTATAGGCAGAATCAGTTTGATGAATGCCTTGATATAAATTCAGAGGCACTTCTTGAGAATTTTATGGATGAATTTTGGAGAAGCTACTCAAGCTAGAGGGTAGTAGGGTACTAGCTTCTAGAAACCCATTCTCATTCAAAAGTTTCCATTTCGTAGGTACCCTCAATCCCCCATCATTTTCTCCGAATTTTGTAATTAAGATTCTGATTTTTCTTTTAAAAGTGAAGTCATTAGATTTGTGTATTTTAAATTACAATTCATTTTGTTTCCTTTCATATCACTGGATTCAAATTTGTAATTGTTGTTTCAGTTATTTGATCATTTGTGTAATTTATATTTTATACAATGCCCCCCTGGGGGTCTAGAGCTGGGGCATCCAGCAAATTATTAACCTATTATGTAAAAAAACTGCACTGAAGAATAGAATATGTGGTAACACAAGAATGCAAGTGGACGTCAAATAAACAAAACAAATTGGTGCTCGCAAAAACTAATAAATCAAACTCTTAGAAATACTAAATAGTAAGCCATCTGTCAAAATCCTGTTTTCAGCATCAGGCCAGGAAGTGCTCTCTCTCTCATCGCCCTATGCATCTATAGGAGGTCAGGCCTATAAATTGTAGTTGTTGATTCCAAAGTCATATTGGTCTGGCCTAAGTATTGAATATCCTTAACCTGTGCCCTCCACTAATCTACAATCTTTAGATTTAAATCCCACAGGCAAGGAAGTTCCATCTTGTTTATAGAATGTTATATGCTTGAGTAAACTTGATGAAAAATTTGGTCATATTTTAACCTTAGGAATTTGCTTTTCATAAGCCTATCTTAACACAAGGGTTGAAGTGCTTCGGTGATTACCTTCAAAATGCGACAGGTTACTTTGCATTCTTCTCCACAGGATTAATTGAAGGAAGTTACTGCTATATTCAACTTGTTATGTTTGATGATCAATTTGGATGCTTCGTTTACGGTTTATCTACTGTTCACCAAGTTTGATACTCATCTGTTTCTACAGAATTCAGTTAAGAGGTATGCTATAAAGCATAAGCATATCTATTTAGTGCCTATTGTCAAGTGAAGGTTAGTTTGTCATTCATTTTAGAATTTAAGTTAATACATATGAAAGAAAATGTGATAATTGTTTTTTTTGAAAACTCAAGTTTAAACTTCTTATTTTGTCACTGCTATGTTGCTTCAAGAGCCATAATATAATTTTTGGCAATATGATGAAATGGGAATATCCAATTGTTTTCCGCTTCTGTACATTCCTTTGCCTGATTTTCTGCTCTTTTTTTAATTAACAGGCGCCAACAGGAAGCAGAACTAAAACTAATAGAAGAAGAAACAGCAAAAAGGGTTGAAGAAGCAATCAAGGAAAAAGTTGAAGAGAAATTGAACTCTGCCTATATGAAGCTTGAAATTGATAAGCGACTTGTAGAAGGGCGGAAGAAGCTTGCCATTGAGGTTGCAGCTCAGCTTCAAAAGGAGAGAGAAGCTGCACTTGTCATGGCAAAACAAAAGCAGGCAAGTTCCTTTGTGGTTGGTTGGGATGTTAAAAAAATTGCAATGGTGAATCCAAAATGGCACAACTGGTGGACTCTCTCCCCTTGTGGCTGAGGGTATGTTTAGATGAAGGGTTTTGGAGGATAAGGCTTAAGAGCTCTTACTCTATATCTTGATGCCAAAATGCATTTGAAAAACGAACAAAATGTGATTGAAATCTTATACAATCAGATATTATGTTAATGTATCAATTTTCATAAAATCCCAAGTACTCCTATATATCAAGATATAGTCTAAGCCTCCCAAGTCTCCTTTCCTTCCAAACCCATTAAAACCCTTTATCAAACAGACCCTTATATGTACAGGACTCGATCTATCTCCTTGCAAAAAGAAATTTCCTGATCTGATATATGTAGGCCAAGTACTTTCATGGCATTCAATAGCACGTGGATAAGTGTAGACCCCGTTGGCCCAACGATCAGAAAATTTTCTGTCTATGCTTGATGAAAGTGGATGGTGTAGTTGGTCATGATTCAAATCTGAATTGGCAAATTCCTCGGGGATCTAGATACGGTGGAGTAATCTAGTAGTCCCTATGTTCCATAAATGTTTTCACCTCTTCTTTTTGGTCATCCTGAAAAATTCCCTTTTAGGAACTAATTGTGTGGTTCATAGTGTTTTTGCATTCAAAAAGCTCAGCAACACAGTTTTACGGTGTATACAGCAGTTCAAATGCTAATGAAAAAAAAGTTGTCAGACGGGTATATGATAAAGTTAATGTCAGTTCGGTGGAGTTACTCAACCAGATCGAGGTCTGTTCCTTTGATGAATGAGAGGACTGACAGTTATATTTATGTTTGTTTAGGAGCAGGCTAAGAAAGAGAAGGAAGAATTGGATAAGGTGCTTGAAGAGAATAGGATGAAGATGGAAGAAGCTCAGAGAAGGGAAGCTTTAGAGCAGCAGAGGATAGAGGAAGAACGTTATAGGGAATTGGAGGAGCTACAAAGGCAGAAAGAGGAGGCTATGCGAAGAAAGAAACAGGAAGAGGAGGAAGAACACGCCAAGCAAACGAAATTGCTGGGCAAGAACAAATCTCGCCCTAAGTTGTCCTTCGCTTTCGGATTGAAATAAGTCTCAGTGCGACTCCTGGGTTCATTGTGGTTCCTTCGGGCCATACCTGTTTGTCCCTGTGTATTTTCTGTATCTTTTTTCCCCCTTTTTACTCGGTGGTGTTATAAGTTTAGATGTAAGAGCCAATGAATGTAAGGTTAGTTTATAGATGTAATACCCCAGGCCTCACAGCCGCATGTAATACTGATATGTGCTGGTGGCTTTGGTTGGAATATTATTAATTTCATGGCAGCGTATGAGATAAGTACGTATTCTTATTACATAGATGACTCCACATGGTGCAAATTTGGTCTTCTAGATATATTTTTGACCGAATGTTGTCCATCGAACATGTCAAGTCGTCAACTATGTGTTGACAATTGACATACATTGTTTGTCCTAATCTTCCACATGACAAGGGTAGGGATGGACTCGGCCCGGGTCAACTGGCCTGTAACCGGCCTGGCCCGGTACTGTTTCATCCCGGCCCGGTACCCGGGTCTGTGCCTGGTTCGGGCCACACGAACCGGTACTATTTCGGGGTGGGCTCCGGGTCTCAAAAAACATGAACTTGCCTAGCTGAGCCCGTTCCGGGTTAGGGATGGGTTGGGCGGGGTGTTTTGGATAGGTTTGAGTTGTGGGGGGTGGGGGTAGGGATGGACCCGGGCCGGTCCGGGCAGACTTTTTTTTCAAATTGTTGGGCTCGGAATCGGCCTGGGTTGATATCGGGTCTGGGTCTAATCAGGCCCGGGTTAAGGTAATTTTTCTTTTTGCTTTCTAATTAACCCCTGACCCCCCTCATCCCACCCCCAAAACTCCCCCAAAACACCCATCCCTAACTAAGGAAAACAAAAAAAATTGAAAAAACAAAAAAAAAAACCGGGCCCGGCTCGAATCGCCCGGGCTGGTTCACCAAAAATAGGGCGCGAGCCCGCCCCGCCCAAGGTAGGCATGGACTCGGGTCGGGCCCGGGCCTAGGCCCGGGCGGGCCGTCGGTTTGTATGTGATGGCCCTGGGACCGGCCTGAGGTCTGGACGGTTCCGGTTCGGGTCGGGCCACCCGTCGGGCCGGGCCGAGGCGCCGGGCCGGTTAAATCCATTTTTTTTAATAATTTATACTTTATAGTTTTATACAAGTTAAAAACAAACTTCAAGTGCATTCATTTGATATGAAATGGGAACTACATTTGACAAGTTACAATTGAGAATTGAAGGTAAAATTAAAACATACAATACTAATCAATCAGAATCTCCGTAATAGGTAGAGCCACCTTCGGTTGTAGATTCATCCACAAAATGTTGGGATGAGGTGATGTCAATTTCTTGAGCTCTGCGGGCCGCCTTCAACCAATCGTGGTAGCATATAAGCATCTCAAGAGATTCTGCGCTCAACCTCGTTCTACAATGCGTTAGGACATTGCCGGCCGAACTAAATTCTTGTTCCACGGCAACTGTTGAAACCAACATTGATAGCACTTGCTTAACCATCTTTTCTAAAACCGGGAACATTCTTTCTGTTCCCTTCCACCAATTTAGAACGTCAAAATCATCATCTTCTTCAAAATCAACATCATATGTTAAATACAAAGAAATCTCATTAATTGTGCTTTGTTGAGTAGCGGGAGTTGATTTCATTTTTTTAATAAGATTGGCAAATGTAGATTTCAAAATTGATTTTCCTTTAGATGAAGATGTTTATGTCGGGGGAGGGGCGCGTTGCCATATTGTGCATGAAACTCATTAAATAATGCATAAAATATATCACTAACCTTGCTGTATTCTTTTTTCGGATCAATTGAGTTGTCCTCATACATTGACATTGGACCAAAAAAAGCAGCAAATAATAATTCAAACATTCTTCTAAAGAACCAAGTCTAAAACGAGGATCGAGAACAAATGCAATACCATAACTAGTTTAACTAGTTTAATGAAAAATTAATTATTTAACCAGATTTTTAAACTAGTTTTTTTGTACTACCTATTTTTTTAACTAACAATCAAATTATTATAGTTTAACTAGTTTAATGAAAAATCAACTATTTAACTAGTTTTTAAACTAGTTTTTTGTACTACCTATTTTTTTAACTAACAATCAAATTATTATAGTTTAACTAGTTTAATGAAAAATTAACTATTTAACTAGTTTTTAAACTACTTTTTTGTACTACCTATTTTTTTAACTAACAATCAAATTATTATAGTTTAACTAGTTTAATGAAAAATTAACTATTCCCGGTAAAATTTCCTATGTGGCATTTTTTTTCCTTTTCTATTTCTTTTTCTTTAATTTCTTTCCAACGAGTACTTTCTTCCCTGGTCATTGTTAGACTCCGGGCTGTTGTGGTGCGTAGATTTTGGAGGAACGGGAGAGTGAATGTCTGGTGCAGGAGTGGAACTCGGTGGTTGCAGGGAAGGCATTGAATGGAAGGCTTCAGCGATTAGGACGACAGCCACCGGCCTACCGCCTTGTGCCCTTGTCACCTTCTCCTCTCGTCATTACTAGACTCCGGCGAGGCTGCTGCAGTGCTTCGCTACGTGGAGGAGGAATGCGAGAGTGAATCTCGTCCATTTTCATCGTTCCCTTCCTTGCTTCACCGGTTTTTCAGTTTCAGCTTGCTGGGGTTGACGGGGAGGACTGATGCCGGTCGGTAACTTGGTTGAGGGTCAATGGTCAACCCATGGCTGACTAGTAAACACCGTTATGATATTGAGGGTGAAATAAGGTCGGGGTAGGTAGAGCTAAGAACAGGTAAGTAGGGAAGGAAGAGAACAGGGAAATATAGAAGAAAAAAAGAGATGGAAGAAGTTGCAGGTGAGGTGCGGGGAAGAAGGGATCAAGCTAGGAAGAAAGTACTCGTTGGAAAGAAAGAAAAAGAAATAGAAAAGGAAAAAAATGCCACATAGGCAATTTAACCGGGAACCGGATGGAAACCTATTAAAATGACAATTTGACTCGTTTTTTGTTGTTTGTGAGCTTAATCTGATGTTTTTTGAGTTCGGGTGCCTAATTGACATTTTTGTACTGGTAGGGGGGTCTATTTGACACTTTTTCTTTTTTTTAACTAACAATCAAATTATTATAGTTCAACTAGTTTAATGAGAATTAACTAGTTTTTTAAACTAGAGTCAAATGTAGCAATTAATAAAAAATTGTAATAAAGTAATTAACTACTTTAATGAAAAATCAAACAATTCGTGTGAAAACTAATTAACTAATCAAGTAATGTTAATACAAAATTAAACAAGTGTAAATAATAGAATGATTTCTTACCTGTTTTGGTCTTTCGGATGGGAGTAATATGATGACTTCGAATTAATTAGATATAATTCCAACTATATTAATAGATATAATAAATGTATAAGTAATATATAATTAGATAAGAAATATAAGTAATATAATGTACGTATTTATAAGTAGATGATTAATATAAAGTAGATATATAAATATAATATATTGGAGAATAATAGAATTTGAGAAGATGAAGATAATTAGAGAGTAGAGAGTTAAGAGTAGGATTTAGGAAGAGTTGGAGAAGAGATATCACTACTACATTTAGAGGCCTTTTGTAACGGTCAATTTCGTCACTATTGGTCAATAACTCTGTTACATTTTCCTAAATGTAACAGTTTTGAGTCATTACATTCGTTGGCGTTGCCTTTTCTCTAATGTAACACTATGTAACGATTTTTAGAACCAATTGTAATGGTCTTCTTAACCAACCGAAAGTGTTACCACAAATTGAGTGCATTTGTAACGGTCCTTAACCAACACAAATGTAACACCTACGGAACATTAGGTAACAAATGTCATATTTCATTATTATCTAATGTTAACTAATACGTAGTATAAAATATACTGCATACATAATAATAATATAATATTAAAGACAAATCACCAAATTAGAGTGTCATTTATCAAATTTTATTCAAAATAAAGACACAATACAATAAAAATAGGGGGGGACATGCACCTTACCCCTAAAAGTCTAAAATTAAAGCACCTCTAACATTTGAGACTAAACTAAAGATATTAAAAAAACAAAGCTAATAATATGATAACTTAATTCGACTCCCTAAGATAAAGCCTGAAGATGCTTTTCCAAGGTGAGCAAGCCTCTTAATCTCTCTTCAATCTTGGATAAAAATGAGTAGTGTACGTAGTTCCATGGACTCTCCCTAAGACAGCCCTTTCGAGGTGAGTATGTTTCTGGATATCTTCAATCTTTTATGAGAGATTACAAGCAACCATTGATCAGCCTAGCAGTGAGCTGGAATCAAGAGAATCAAATTCCATCGAAAATTGAGTGAATTCATTGTTTACTTTCCATAAAGTAACCTGAAGAATTAGCATTGATGTAAAAAGTCAACAATACCTAAGAAGCTATATGATCATACCTGTGCAACAACTTGGCATCACCCCAGATCAACCTAGACATCACTTTACAATTTTTGGTACTTGTGACGATTGACAAAAAACTCTACTAGCAAAAAAAGAGGACAGGCTAACCATTAGATGACATATATAAGAAAGTGTAATATATATGAGTTTTACGGATTAATTTTTTTCAAAAACTCTGGATGTCCTACTCTTATATAAGAAAGAGGGTAGGTTAACCTTTATATGACATATATATGGAACCTCTTTTGTAAATCTGGGTGGAGAGAAAATTGGACAGAACATTTTAAATGAAATATACTTGTAGACATAATTTTGGGTTTCTTTTTAATTCATATCTCCATAATTTTGAAAAAATTACAAATACTCAGAGTGCTCTATAGGCTTTCTCTATTCATTTATTTAGGTTTAGTCAAATAAGAGATAAAAGAGTACCTTAAAAAATAGCTATAAATCTGCAATGTTTGGATGCAAATCTGCAGTTTTTAAACAATTGAAAAAATTACATACCCCCAGTAATATACTATGTAAAAATTTGCATGTTAAATAGACAAAATTGAAGCAAGTACCATATGTTTTTATCGCATTGAAAATCTTGAAATTTTGATGGTTGTTCACGTCTTCCTATTCCAATTTTTCTCTATAAGGTAGTACTAGTGTAGTGTAATACGAGAGATGGAAGAAGAAAAACTGGGGCAGCTGGGAAGGGATTTTGCATGCAGGTTTACCCGAGCCTGAGATCTGCATTCATTGATATCCTTGATTCTCTTTCACGCTTCCAGCTTTTCCCAGTGAAGAAGAGGGATTCACAATGAAGGACTAAAGCGGCATTCAAGATATGGTGCTCAAGTCGAGCTTAATGACAGAAATAATTATGATGCTCTCAGTCGCATTTTACTCCAGAAGGGATGGGCCGGTGTCTATAAAGGCATTGTCCCACCAGTTATTAAAGCTGCACCGGTAGGTGCAGTCTCCTTTGTTGCTTATAAATTCACATCAGATTAGTTAGAAATGTTTTTAACATGAACTCAACTTTGTTTTCCCTTTTTTTCTTTCCCCTTTGTTGAGATCAGTTTATAGGGGGTTTAAGTGTTTTTCCCTCCCCGTCTTGGACGATGAAGTTGTTTTTATTGCATAACTTCACAAGTGTTTGATACTTAATAATCTTAGGAAAAGGAACGGAAAAGTTATACGAAGTACATCATATGTTTCCCAGAGTAGTAGTTGCCTTTGAGAAAGTGTTAATACAAGAAAGTCAACAGTTCATCCAATATATATATATATATATATATATATATATATATATATATATATATATATATATATATATATATATATATATATATATATATATATATATGTTACTTGTTATCTACTAATAAACTTGGGAGTGTTACATTTCACTGTTAAAAGTTTAGAAAGTAGAAACAAGTAGATATCACAAGGAGAACTTTGACATGTGGGATATATCTCAGAAGTGATTGACATAATAAAAGTCATCACAGTGTATGCCATAGAAAATGAAAAGGTCAGTTTCTATACTATGCAAATGTCAGGGGACGATGTCAAACCTTAAGATGATATAAGGGACTGCATATGCAAACCTGACAAAGAAAAGAAAATTTGAGTGAAACCTACATCACTTACAGAGCTACTGAGAGACTACAACCCTTCTTCATAAGCTGATGAAAGCGATGATAATTACAATGAATTTCATTTTCTTAAGTCACAGTCAGCTCCGAACTACAACTATGAAGTTAGCATAAAAAACATCTGAATAACATAAGAATACAGTGCCTAGAAAAACTCATTCTTTTAGTAGTTATAACATCTGAATACATTCTCAAACTAATCAATTTAAAGTTTGAGTTAACCTTTCCTCCAAATGTTCTGTAATGCCATAGGATACAATGGGGCCTCCCCTATGGTTGTGGTTGTAGCTCTATCAACACCAACAACATCCAACAAATCTTGTCATACAGTTCTAATGGAAAAAACTACATGTAAAACTCCCACAGAAACTTGCATGTGCCAAAATGAACAATTCCACAAATTCAAAAAAAGATTTACTATGTCTTTTATTCACATGTCAATTTAATAAAGTCAATAAAAGTCTATGAGAAATTATTTATGTCAGTATTGATTCATGAAAGTGTATTATCACACAAACTCTATAATTTTTACAAGTTTTTTTTGTTTCTTTGAGCATACATACATACCAAGCAGAGAGTTTGAGAACATATATCTAGCGGTTGATGGAGGCCATTTGGGAAACTCATTCAACAGCAAATAGAACGTAAACTCAATCCTACAAATGACTTAAGTAAGCCAGAAGGGGCAAGCCGTTATCATCAATCTTTCATTCATTCTAAGAGAAAATTGAAATTAGGTTACAATTTTTTGATAATATCATAATCAATGATTATCAATTCATCATTCAAATTAAGAGAAAATCGGAATTAGGTTACAAGTAAACAAATGTAGATATTGGGGGAATTAAACAAACATGGGCACGCAAGAGGGATGAAGGAGAGAAATAAAATGGTGCCAAGCAACAAGTAGGAGGGAGATTTACCTGAATCGGTGAATGATGAATCATTTCGTGAGATCCGTCGGTTAGGAAGAGTTATCCAGTGTGAGCAGATGCCTTTGGTGTGACTCATCTGGGTTAGCGGCAGTGAGCAGAAGGCGTAGTAGCTCTGGAGTGTGGCCGGTGGACAACATGTAGTGATTGGAGAAAGCATCGGCCAATGGCGGAAAAGCACAGGTGATCCGCGGAGCAGTTTGCTATCCGGCGGACTGTAGAAGAAAGCAACAACTGTAACTTGGAGGGTGGAGAGGCGCAGGCAGGGCGCGGGAGGGTCTACTATCCGATGGGAGGAGGCTGCTAGGGCTACGTTGAGGCATTTGTCTAGAATTGGAGTTCACATTAGCTATGCTGAAGAAGTAAAGTGTTTGCAGGAGTAGGTGTTTAAATTTTCATGACTTAGGGTTTTCTACCGTCCCGCTATAATTTTAGCTAAATTTTTTACCGAAAATATGCTCTCCGCCTCAGATGTGTTACATTAGAGTCCACTAATGGTAACACCGGGTGAATAAAGATAATAGTTTATTAAATCGTATACCGACGTTACATTAGCACTACAATAAATGCAACACTTTTGACTTAAATGTAACGAAATTTTCAAAACTATTACAATAGACTGATTTTAGGTAACACTTTCAATAAACGTTACAATTTTAATGTTACGTTAGACTCGAAAATGTAGTAGTGTATGGAAAAATGTTTAAGATTAGGAGTATTTATAGTTTTTTTTACCCCACCCCCACCCCCCAAAACCGCCCGGATCCCCCTGCAGCCCACCCCCAACGGTCATTTGGCCCAAATAAACAATTTTTTTTAAAATAGAGCCGTTGTGACCCGGGCCCGACCCGACCGGGTCACGTTTTATAGGAACCGAGCCCGCAACCGCTTAGCCCACCGGTTCGGGTCTACGCCTGATCCTGGATCGCCCGACCGGTCCGGTTCCGGATGGCACGACCGGACCGGTTCCGGGCCCGCACAGTAGCGGGCCGGGTCGGGTCACGGGCCGGGTGGCCCGAACCGAGTCCACCACTACGCCCAACCCTCCCCAACCGGGTAAAAGCCCGGGCCCGGTTAGCACCAACCGGGCTGGTCCGGGCCCGGTTAGCACCAACCGGGCCGGTCCGGGCCCGCACAGTAGCGGGCTGGGCCGGTTCCGGACCGGGCCGAACCGGTTGGGTCCATCCCTAGGTGGTGGGGGGGAGGGGGGTAGGAAGTAATTAGAAAATAAAATAAAAAAAGGAAATCGGGCTGACCCGGCCTGAACCGGCCAAGGCCCGACCCAGTAGCTACCTGGGCCGGTTTTGGGCCTCAAGATTCCCAAAAAACCCCGGCCAGGCTCGGCCCGAGGCCCGACCCGAACTGAGACCATGCCTAGACAAGGGGGTGGAAATGGCATGGTTTTGTCACCAATCTTGATCTTCAGGATTGACGATCTTGTTCTCACGATAAAGTATCGTAATTTCAGATGTAGCGGTGGACAAAAGGAAATATAGTACTCCCAACAAAAAAATAATTTCAAACTTGATGTGTGTGTATATTTAAAGTTCTTTTGGTGATCCTGTTTTTTAGTTTATCAAGTTTTATTAGCGAACTTTTTCATTGAAAACGTAACCTTTGATTTTACGCACTGAATTGTGTAATAAGGAAAAGTAAGGTTGGAGTTATTTTTATGAGTATTGGCCGAAGTTACTACACAATCCATTTTATCTATTTTGTTATATAATGTTTTCTTTGTTTTTTAATAAAACACATTTTAAATATAATGACGGATAGTATATCCGGGGGATACCGCTGGGGGTATCTAGAGAGAAGTCAGAACAAGTAAGAGAGAGTGAGTATTTATTCAATGAAGTTGTTATATCGATTACAATGGAAGAATGGCTGCTATTTATAGCTGCCATAAATGCTAGGTGCAATAAATGAGGGTACACGTGTCAAGCAACCAGCGATGGAGGGTCAACTTAGCCAGGGTGGTGCCGACACATCATGTGGGCGCATTCAATGCGGTGGTTTGGATATGACGTTGCATTTAATGCGGTGATTCAGCGCATGCAGAGAGGAGATCTTGTCAGGGTAGTGTCGAAGGGCCGTACGTACCCCGGAGGACTTCATGTGCTGAAGGACGTACGTCCCCTGGGGCCTTCATGTGCAGAAGGATGTACGTCCCCTGGGCCTTCCATGTGTCGAAAGCCGTACATCCCCGGGGACCATCATGTGCTGAAGGATGTACGTCCCCGGGGACCCTCATGTGCTAAAGGACGTACGTAACTGGGGACCCTCATGTGGTTAAAGACGTACGTACCCGGAGGGCCGTCATGTGATGAAGGACGTACGTCCCCAGTGATGTTTGTGGACGTACGTACCCTGTTGTAGTATGGGCTGTCCAGAGTTCATTTTGCTGTGTTTGGGTCACTTGAGCCTGTTGGGCCTGATTGTAGTAGTGGAAGTATGTGAGCCGGGGGTTCCTGGGCTATATACTCCATCATATATTTTTTTCACAAATCAGTAAAATCAACCACTTTAGTATTACCAAACAGGCTCTTAATGATAAACCGACATAAGCTTATATAAGCAAGCTTTCAAATGAGTTATATACGTTATAATTTCATTAATTTCATGTGTTATAATTTCATTTATGACAAATTGTTTTGAATAGTGGTAAAAACGTTTTAAAATTCTAAAATAGGATTTCTATTTTTTTATTCCCTAAATAAGAGTAATTTTTGCTAAGTTGGGCATTATCAAACTTTATGAAATTAGGAATTATTCTTATGAATGTCTCCATAAATTATGAATAGTTATCAAAAATAATTTTAATAAAATAAGTATTTAACTAGTATATCTTTTGGGACTAAGGCTCGGATATTGTTGTTGTTAGTATTTAACTAGTATTTTTATAACTAATGAGTTGTAACTAGTAAGTAGTAACTAGTATAATAAATACTACTACTGTTAGTAACTTAGTATTTGAAGATTCCCGATTTTTAGTTTTCCTTATTTGTTTACTTTATTTAGCATGGAGGGGTAGTATTTATATTTAGTTCCTTTGGTTTGATTAGATAAGAAATGAATGATACTCCGTAATAAAGATGAGTCCCTCTCTCTCGTATCCTCCTCCCTCTTGTATGTACAAGATAAGCAGAACTGTTGATGGTATCAGATCAGCACTCGATCCTGCTATAATTCTTAGCTTCAAAGGGCTGGTCAAGTCTCTTTTGAATCAGTGATTACTAATGAGGGATCAGCTCTTGCAACTCGTGCTCCATCTGGAATATCTCAGAGAGGAAATGGCCAAAGAAACCGGCCTGTTGGAGAATTTATGGGAAACCATATCAGTGTAAATGTAGCAATCAACTAATGACATCCAGGAGGCTAGGTTTTTAGCAAGGAACAGATACAAGCTCTTCGATCAGAATATATATGTTGCAAATCACACCCCATGAATGGAGACAAAGGGATTGCAGTTGTTGCCCAACAAAGTGGAGTCTCATCTGCATTTGTAACAAGCTAAGTACATCGGGTGAAAAGCCGGCCTTGGGTTGTTGATTGTGGTGCTACTGATCACACTACTGCGGATAGGAATATACTTGCTGAATTCCAACCAGTACCGAATGATTTATTGTTGAGTGTTCAATTCCTTTTCCTAATTATACCCCTCTTTCCAAGCACCCTAATTTAATTATATTTATCAATTGATTTTTCTTTTGTCAGACATCTTCCGTCTCCGTCACACCTTTTTCTCTTTTCTTTCTCCTGCCTTCTCCCATCTCCTCCCGTTTCTCCTCTGGCACTCACTCATCCATTTAATCATCTCGAGACTTCTCTGTCGGACTGTCGGACTGTCGGTGGATTACAAAGGTTTGAGCAGTGAATTTCTCCGTCGAACTCCAGCTATCAACGTACAACAGGGCAAACACAGGTAAGTTTGATTTCCTCCTCATATCATCCTCCTCCTCCTCTTCTTTACCTTCTTCTCCATTATTTTTTTTCTCCTTTGCCCAGCTGCACCTTTTGGAGCGTAAACCTTCTTGCTTTCATTACAACCAAATTTTGATTTGTTTTTTAAGTGAATGTTCTTTTCCCTTTCGAGATATGAATTTCTCAAGCTTCAATCTTCCTTTTCTTTTATTTGGTCTTTCAATTTTTCTCACCTTTTATTCCTTTGACTCTTTATTTTATCTTTCTATTTTTTTTGCCATTTCAAAAATGGCAAAATTATTTTAAAAATGCCACGTTTTCAATATGTTTGGCAAATATTGTCATTTTACATTTATGAAGTGTTTTTCAATATGTTTGGCAAATATGTCATTTTACATTTATGAAGTCGACATTAATTTCGTAAAGACGCACAATTAAGTGGCGGGCCAGCATCGGTACAATTGTCATATCCAAGAATATAAAACTGAAATCTATGTTATAGGTTCCCAATCTCGATTTCAATTTGTTAAACTAAGGGAAAAGGGGCAAATAAGGTCATGTACTAACCAAAAAAGGTCAAATAAGGCCTTATTTATGAGGCTCTGTCCGGCCTTCGCCATTTGGGGTGGTTCTCAGTGGAATTTTTTGATAAATTTTTTTTGACCATCTTATTCATTAAGTCTAGTTTACTCATACCAAATTTCAGATAAAAATATAATCGAGAAGGCATTCAAATGAATTCTTGAAGATAATTGCGCTTCTAACTGCGCAATTATCTTCAAGAATTCATTTGAATAGCTTCCCTATTGAAGTTTTAGCTTAAATTTGGTATGAGTAAACTAGACTTACTGAATAAGATGCTCAAAAAATTTCATCAAAAAATTCCACCGAGAACGAACCCAAATGGCGAAGGCCGGACAGAGCCTCATAAATAAGGCCTTATTTGACCTTTTTTTGTTAGTACGTGGCCTTATTTGCTCCTTTTCCCTTAAACTAATGAGTGATCTAAATTGCATTACTATCTTAACCCCATCTGCATGCATGTTTCGGGCCTTGAGTTCGATCAGGGAAGATGATTGGGAGCTGAGCATTCAGGATAACGTCTAGTTTCATCATTATTTCATGTTTTAGTAAAAATAATGTGATGTTATGACATCATAGGTTTGGTCATTCAAATTTTCATTACTTAAAAAAGTTGTTTCCTCATTTATTGAATAAAATCCGAATGATTACAATTGTCAAGTGTGTTATTATTTATCCAAGCATGTTACACATTCTTATACTCCGGCCACTCCCGTATAAATCCTCTCATCCATTATTTCTGATGGACAAATCTGAAATTGGGTCAATTTTCCAGCATTTTCATCAGATGAGAAACAAAAATTCAAGTTCTCAAATTTGATAATGCAAGGAATACTTTCACTCTGAGTTGGGCAACTATATTGAAGATAATAGTGATGAAACGGTTATCGACGCAAGAGGGGGGTGAATTGTGTTTGTGTGAAACCGTGAAAGTTTTTCACACAGTTCTAGTGTGAGTGTAGGGAAATGAGAAATAGTAAGTCCACAAAGAATTAAGGAGGAAAAATCCTTTGGCACACAGGGATTAAAAAACCTCGACCTCCCTCGGAGGAATTTTGAACAACTTCACTAAATAGCCTTTTTGTGGTTACAAGGTAAATTCTCCTAATCTACCCTTAAGCCACCCCAATTCTATCCTCTCTAGGAAGAGTTATGCTTCTCTACCTTGCGGGTAGAGATCCTCTCAGCTTTACAACAAAGCTCTCACACACACGATCCCAAACCGAGGATGCTACCCTTAGCTTTTCCTCGAAACCAAGTTACAAGATAAAGACGGGAAAATAAACTCTATCTAGAACTTCGTGTGTAGGTTCAGGTGTCTTGAACTTGATAACTCCCTGCAAGTCTTTCTCCGTTTTGATCACTCTATCAAGCACACTTTTCTTTCTCTTGATCCTTCGAATATATATAGGCTGCTGGAAGGTATCCGTTGTTCCTCCTTTCCTTAGATGATTGGTAGACTTGCCTTAATATTTTTGAATCACCTTCCTTCTATGTGGACTTGATCATTCTGACTTCATTGCTTGTGATCACAATGTATTGTAATATAGAATAAAAGGAAGTCAACCATGCAATCGGTCCATATCATATATATGGTAATGGATATTCATTTAGAGCAATAGTCAATCAGAATCATGGACAATAAAATATTCATAGATAAATATGCTGCAACCAATTTTGCTAAGTGGATCGGTCAACTATAATAGAAAAAGGCAAGTTATTTATACGATCCCTGTAATGAGGCTATTAATGCGAATGCTTAGTCATGCATGTAAAATGTGCCACGTATATAGTCTAATTCATGCAGGCATATATCCATTTATTTATCAAGTACGACAATAGTTCACAACTAAGTTCATTCCTAGTAGAACGGGTAGTAGTTCTATTCAAGGGTCCACCTGCATGGTTAGTTACATAATGAATTATTTGTCCTTTTCTGTTTAAGGTTAGTCATAAACAAAACTAAATAGTCAACAAATTCCCCCCTTTTGTTGATGACAAACCTTAGGTGCCGAAAGAGTTCCTGCAGATTAGCATTTGAGCAGTAGTAGCAGTTCAAGTGCAGAAAAAGGAGGCACCTGATTATTTTCCCCTTTTGGCATCAACCAAAAGGAAACGGAAAATAACCAAAACAATGCCGAGGAGTAGTGCAAAACAAACAAGTGTTAAAGTGTTTAGAATGTCTAGTAACATATTAGCCCACGCAACCCAAAGTTAATTAGGAAAAGTGTTTTTCAATCATCATCGAAGGAGTAAATGATTCTTCTATGAGTTGCACCAGGATCCCAAACTTCTCAGCCACGTTCTGTTTGAAGGATTAGAAATCATTTCGAATGATGTTGGTGCAATCCGCCAGTGTATCCACCTTTTTTGCCAAGGCAGAGATGGTGTCTGAAAGTGAAGCAAATTGGTGTTGAATATGGCGCTCCAGAAGATCTATACGATCAGTGATTGGGGGTACAACCACCATTGGGTCGATGGAAGGAACTGGAGTAGGTATTGGTTTGGGTTTTTGTTCTGAGGACGAGGGAGCAGGCAATTTAGGAAGCGGGTGAGAGTTTGAGATAACTAGCCCAAAGTTGCTAAGGAACCTTTTGTCCAGAATTTTACATGCTTCTTCAGAAGAGAACTTATCTAGACCAATGTCCTTTGATAGAAATATTTTGGTAAACAGCGGGGCATATGGAATTCAAATCCTCCGGGATGAAGTACTAATGATAAAACTGAGATGGGCCATCATTAAACCGAGAAGATTAATAGGAACTTTGTTGGCTAAGAGGTACATGTAGGCTAGTTCAACTCTAGAGGGTGTGAACCTACCTTCTAGCCTAGGGACCAAGTTGTGATGAACAAAATAAAACATCAATTTAGGAATTGGAGCTAGGCTGGCGACATGGAGAGAGGACTCGGAAATGGTTGGGTCAAAATATTCAAGTGCAACTGTTTGATAAGTATCAGTTAGGGGCCATTCAGTTTTGTTATATTGGCATATACCAGTGCAGGGAACACCTAAGATTTGACCCGAATGAGTGACATTCAACAGAATTTTGGTACCTTGCACTCTAGAGGATAATGCATTATCTTTGATAAAAAGATTTCCCATGAATTCTGAGACTAGTTCGGGATACATAGAGGAACAATTTTTGGAATCAAACAGGGTATCCCAATTTTGAAACAAAATAAGCTCAATGAAATCAGAGGTCTTTCGAGTCAAATCATCAGAAGAAATGGAAAGTACCTTGACCATCCCTCGGGAGAGGTACTCTTCCTTTAGTCGTGCGGCATCTTCATCGATAACTCTCCCCATTTTAGGGTATTTCTTGGTTGATTCTCCTCCTGGGATGATGCCTTCGGCAATGGCTCTTTTCCGGGTGTACTTCTGAGGCAGAGCTTTTCCGTCGCGAGTGGGTGGTTTATTCTTACGTGGCTTAACTGGAGAGGAAGTGGGAGAGGATGGTGGATTCGCTTCTTGTTCCCCCTGAGAAGATGCGGGGGACGGTGGTTGTACGTGAACTGGATGATTCGAAATGATGGTTTTGCATGTTGGAAGGAGGAGTAGATTCAAGGTCAACCGGAGTGGGTGAGGATGGTTGTGGTGGTTGTGAGTTCCGTTTCCGACCAGAGTGTCGAAGTGCAGTGGGAGGAGCACTACCCCTGGTTTTAACCATGGTGGTTAGGAAAGAGATGAAGAAAATAGTTATGGAAGGTGGATGGTTTTGGAAGTGAGCGGTCTTATAGGTACTCGAAAACCGAGTGGAGATCTTTTTACTCTTCCCAAAGATCCTTAATGATTTCTTGCCAAGGAATAATTTCAAATTATTTTCCTAATTGAGGAAGTGGGCGGTTGTTTAGCTGTTACTTACCAAAAACGTTTTTACAGCTTTTTTTATAATTTGTTAATTTTGGAAGTTCAAAGATCTGTTACGTTCATAAAGCAACTTACCTCTTTTAAAATATTGAGTTAAAATGGTTCCCCCTAAGTTATAAAGAAAGAAAGCACTTAAAATTTATGATAAAAAAACTTAACAAATTAAAAGAGGAGCATAAATTTAAGCATTGATTAGCCCAAGTTCAAGTCGAATTAATTCAAACCTTTCTCTTCCTAGAGGCTTTGTAAAGATGTCGACAATTTGCTTGTCAGTATTGCAATATTCCACATTGATTAGCCCCTTTTCCACGCAATCTCTCAGAAAATAATGACATATATGGTTATGTTTTGTCCGAGAATGTATGACCGGATCTTTTGAGATGCTAATTGCACTAGTATTGTCACATAGAATTGGCGTGCAATTTAAAGTAATTCTGTAGTCGCTTACTTGTTGCATGATCCATAGTGATTGGGAACAGCATGATGCGGCTGCTACGTATTCAGCTTCGGCCGTTGAGAGAGCAACTGAATTTTGTTTCTTAGAACTCCAAGAAACCAAGCAAGGACCTAGGAAGTGAGCCGTTCCTGATGTGCTTTTCCTATTTAGTAAATCACCTGCAAAATCAGAGTCTGAATATGCAATAAGATTAAAATCCTCATTACGTGGATACCATAAGCATAGATTCATAGTCCTTTTGAGGTATTTGAGGATCCTCTTGACTGCTTTGAGATGTGACTCCTTAGGATTAGCCTGGAACCGAGCACATAGACCTACACTAAAAACAATGTCAGGTCTACTGGCAGTTAGGTATAGTAGGGACCCGATCATTCTTTGGTACATCTTTTGGTCTATGCTTGTTCCCTTTTCATCTCCATACTTCTTGAGTAGTTCCTTAAGATACTTTTATTGATATATTTGGGTTCCTTTGCTTGCTTATTTGTTTGATTTGTAGACCAAGGAAAAAATTTAGTTCTCCCGTCATACTCATTTCGAACTCGGAGCTCATAAGAGAAGAAAATTCATCACAAAGAGAATCATTAGTAGCACCAAATATAATATCATCAACATAAATTTGAACGACCAAAAGGGCTTGATTCTTTATTTTTAGAAAAAGAGTTTTATCTATTTTTCCTCTTTCAAAATCATTTTCCAAAAGGAATTTAGACAGTCGTTCATATCAAGCACGAGGTGTTTGTTTGAGACCATAAAGTGCTTTATCTAATTTAAAAACGTGATTAAGAAAATCTGGATTTGCTCGCTCGGGAAATGATATATATATCTAAGATTAAGAGCATATAATGAGCAGTTAAACCATGTGATTGTGAAGATGGTACAGAGATTGCAATCTTGCGCAGTTTGGAGTGAGCGAAAGAAGCGTATTGCTAGGCTACTATTTAGCCATGGCGAGCATCTTTGAGCCACAAAAGTCAAAGGAGAGACTGGCATGGGCAAACACATCTGCTCTCATGGAGGCTATTGGTTCCAAGTTTGGGACAGGAAAGACAGAGATTTGCCAAGACCAGGAAAAGGCTTTCCTTCATGAATTCATGAGCAACAATGGAAGTAGGCACCCGACAAGAAATAAGACTCTTGTCGTGGAGCTGCTAGAGACCTTAAACCAGCTCTCTATAGATGCACTCCAGGCACATGGTGGAGATATCCATCAGTACCTACGCCTAGCTGTAAGCATTGACAGCCTCTCCGTGCCCAAATTATTACTAACACTCTGCTTAGAAAGAATTAGATCATAAATGTACTTTTACAATAGTTAATCATACCTTTGTCCTCCAATTCCATTTCAGTAATGCCTCTATTAAACAAGCACAAAAAATGCTTTTTACTTTAAAGAATTAACCACACTTTAAACACTTAATTTTTTTCTAAAGCCTCCTGTGGAGTTGGGTTTTAGAGTGGAAAAGGAAACTACAGTAATATTTTTTTGTCATCATGCACTAAATATATATATATATGCAGTGGGGGGAATGGCTGCTAAATTGGGAAAAGAAGGGTGCGGTGCAAGGAGAAGCGAAACTCGTAGTGTTAACGTTGAATATGTTCAACGGACCTCGGGTGTCGGAGGAGTTATTGTTGTCACATCCCAAGTATGATCAGCAGATGGAGATCACCAATAGCATTTCCCACCAACTCTGTCTCTATCGCCAATGCAAGGTGAGAGAGACTTCACTACTCTTAATCATGATCATGCATGTTTTGAAAATAAAAAATAAAAATATACATTTACAGAGTCAACCACAGAAAAGGGCACTCGAGAAAATGACTGCAGAGATAGAATTCGACATGCAATACCTAGTCAAAATGGTGCTGACAAAAGACTCCGATGAAGAGCTCATCCATGATGTGAAGCAAACTTTTCTCATTGTAGCAAAAGCGTTTTACTATGCTGCCTATTGTAATCCGGAAACTATCGATTTCCACATAACCAAAGTGCTCTTTGAGAGATTACACTGATGATTACACAAAGTCACAGCTTTTGACTTGGCCTTTCACAAAATAATTGTGGTCGGGTTAAATCAGTTCAACTATATCGTATTGATATAGTTACAGGAATGAAGAAATGTGTAAAATGATATACACTATCAAATAATAAGTGGGAAATATGAGTCACATATATAGAGGCCAATTACTTCAATGCCAAATGTCTTCTGGTTTATGTTTTCACTTTCCAGTTTAAGTTCTAACTGCGCAGCTCTTTTTCAATTTCCACTTTCTCACAATTTCTCACACCAAACAAGGTCTCAAAATTTCAAATCGCACTAAAGTGTACCACAGCTACTCTGACCATCTAAGATATGATAAATGAAATCTTCTAAGCATGATTACTTGATGAGAAGTGGAGAGATTGTGGGGTGAGAGCATAACGTACATTAGCATGTGGGTGTTGCAAACTTGTAGATATATTTATATAAAAAATAAAAAAGTGTATACTTTTGCATGTACAATTCACAAATCACGATGGCAGGCAGGATGATTTTAAGACAGACATGAAAAGCAAAATATGGTAGACTTGTCCACTAAGTTACATAACAAGATCAAACATCTCAAAATCTGTTTGCCCTACCGAGAGAAGCATCTAATGGGGCCACAAGAAGTTCCAGATCATAGCATATATCAACAAGCAACACACTTTAACAGCGTTTGCTTATCATTATTGCAGCATTAGCGACAACCCTCAAACTGATAATTGCTTATTCCTAGAATAACCCAATTCGCTCTTTTGAAGTTTCCTATTTTAGGTCCAGCACACAAGTTTAAAGAAACTAGATGGCCATTTCAAGCAATGCCATTTTTCATCTTTGGAAACAATTTTGGTGCACCTCATATATACAATGATTTCCATTAGTAAAGCATCACCATTATGTTGCTCCCCTTAGTCATAAGGCTCACCATAGTCCCCAACAATATCATTCAAGGGCCTTCTCTTCACCTAAACAATGAAGCAACGGTAGGAGATTCCGGACCGGCTCAGACCTCAATCACCATAGCCCAAGGGCTTGCTCACATTCACCACCAAGGTTACAAAAAAGGGAAACTGAAGGGCAACAATCGACTACCCTAACTCACAGAACCCAAGCCCCAACCCAGAAGCTCCATCGGAGAATAAACCCACCACACAACCAAACCAGAGTGAAGACCCCCAAAGGAACCCCAAAGTGTCACCGGAGTATAGCCGAAGCTAAAGCTCAGATGAGACTGGTACTCTCCCACTCTAGGTCTAGGGTAACAGACTGAGAGGCTCATCGTTTAAAGAGAAGGAGGAACGAAAGAAATAGAGGGTTCGAGAAGCAACCAGACAAATATATCAAAGGGCCACAAGGTCACGGGCTGGGCATAAAATAAACAAACGGAATTGGGCTTGGTCGCTCGACAGCCCATAAATGGGCCAGGGCATTTAATAGGAGACCAACTCCTTAAATGAGGTGGACCAAGAACATTAAATGGGATGGCCTAGGTGGTGTGAGGTGGGCCAATACCAATCAACAATCTCCACCTTATTGGTCCCCCTGGTGGTGTAGAGCACAACGTGAAAGGGAGTATCATCATCGCCGGTTTTGTACCTGTTCTTATCTAGCCACAAACCAAATTAAGTGTTCATTTACAAAATAAAAGTTTTTCAAAATTGAGACATTTAGTCCCCATATCAGCAGGATTGAATTCTGATGCAATCTTGCATAGATTCACTTCTCCTTTGTCAACTATGTCCCTGATAAAGTGAAATCTAACATCAATGTGTTTGGTCCTGTCATGAAACACAGGATTTTTACACAACTGGATGGGAGACTGGCTGTCTGAGTATACTGTCACAACCTGCTTAAGAAAACCAATTTCAGTTAGTAAACGTTTCAGCCAAATGGTCTCTTTAAAGGCTTCAGTGGCTGCCACGTATTCAGATTCAGTAGTGGACAGTGCAACAATGGGTTGAAGTTGGGATTTCCAACTTATGCAGGACCCACATAGAGTAAAAATATAGTTTACATTTTGATCCTATTTGTGTAAAGTGAGAAGCTTTTAGTCCTATTTTGAAAATTAACCCTAGATATATAGTGGACCTTCAATAATTCTCTATAACTCTCAAATGTGTCCTGACTCCTGAGTCCTCCCGATTAATTCTCCAATGCCGGTGTCGGGCTCAATTTCTGATTTTGACTCCACAAATACCAAACACGAACAAACGCCTGGTAAAATATGACTTGAGCTAAAATTGAGACTTATGACACCTTAAAGCTAAAAAACCATCAAAAGCCGATCTCAACACACATCAAATGCGTGTCGAAATATGAACTTATCAATAATGTTATCTAGTTTTGTTCAAAATCATTTTGGGGAGAAGCTGTGTTAACTGCTGCATACCTTATCAATAGGATGCCTTTCGAGTCATTGACTTCAAAACTCCGCACCAATTTCTACAGTCTAGCTTCCATAACATTCGATTTTTGTCCCTATTACAACTGAAAATATTTTGTTGCACCTCATTCGTTCATAATCATCAGCCAAATCATAGCAAACTAGATCCTAGGTGATTCAAATGTGTCTTTTTGGGATATTCCCCAAACCAACGTGATTATAAGTGTTACTCTCCTTCCACCAGAAAATTCTACCATTCCATGGATGTCACATTCTTTGAAGACAAACCCTATTATTCCAAAACTAAAATGGGGGGATATCAATGTTTGGACTATGTTACCTTATTCCCTTCTGATCCGAGTCACCTTGTGGATACTCCTAATCCATTACGAATACCGATTGGAGTTGAAACTAACAGTCCAAATCGGAGTGGTCCTGAATTTTTTCCAAACCCATCAGCCGATGGATCCTTAAATAAAGTTGTCCAAAAGATGACATTGTCTACATCTAGCGCAAGAAACAGCAAAATGAGGTGGCAAAGCAAGTCACTACTAAAGATTCACTAGGTAATACCGTAATACTCAACCTAAAGATTCCAGTTCTTATGTTTCCCCTGATGAGTCAAGTGATTTAAATATTCCAGTTGCATTACGGAAAGGGAAGAGAAGTTGTACTACTCATCCAATGGAGGGGTAGTATTGTAATTATCAGAACTACTAGGCTTGAGTCACTCCTACCTGTCTTAGTATTTGTATTTAGTTCCTTCTATTTGATTGGATAAGAAATGAATGATAAATAAAATAATAAAGATGAGAGTCTCTCTATCTCTCTCGTATCCTCTCGTATCTACAAGAGATATGGAGAACTCTTGAGTATTATTAATATTAAATAAAATAATTAGTTAAAAAAAGATGTTCTAAACTGGAATCACCCGAAGTACTGTCGATTCCGGTTTTAGTTTCGATTTAATCGGAAACCGCGAACAAGTCTACTAAGCCCGTAGAGGGAAGGTCTGAATAATTTAATTATCATATATTCCTTAGACCCTGTTAGTCATTAGTGATGTGTTCCTCCGTCCTGTTATTCGTGGCCGGGTTGTTGGGCCGAATGAATCATTAAATTATGGTCAAACAAATCAGTATACTCACACTTATTACAAAAGAAAATTGGGCGGGTCTAATTTTTTTCATTCTTTTAGGGCTCCCCCTATATTTAAGTTACGAGTTAACTTTACAATATTTTAGTCAATATAATTTTGGAAGAGGGGTATTTGATGTTGTATTACAAAATAATAAAAACATCTTTTATTACCCAGATATAGCCGGATTAAGTGTATGATCTAAATTTAGACACACACCAAAAGAAAAGTGAATTCTTAATCTAGAATTTAAAGTCATAAGACAATCATAATTCATCAACACTTTAGCTGAATGTGTTAACCATGAATATGTTGTATTATTTGCATTCAATAAAGTAGTTTGGCTTAAAACTATATGAATATGTTTGAGCCATGAACACTTTTAATTGGATTGATTTTAGTCACATATCAGAATAGACTAAACAAACTACATCAGACTGTATCAATCTGTGAAATACACAAATTAGAAATTTACCATATATACTAGACTAGACCGGTTCGAACTTTGAATCAAACAACGCTTTAAAATTTCAATCAAATAAAAACATCCTCATTACTTATAAAATTGGATTTTGTTGACTGACATGTTTCGTGTGCGGCCTATTATTTTAAAGGAAACAATTGTTGGTGGAATTTTTAAAATGTGAATGTAAAATATGCAAGTTCGTTAACTTGTCTGAAATATTTTCTTTTTGTAAAATTGAATTATTCCGAGCAACACTTTTTTGACCGAACTTTACAGAATATATATATATATATATATTCTGTAAAGTTCGGTCAAAAAAGTGTTGCTCGGAATAATTCAATTTTTTGGTATAAAGAGTTTTGAAAAATGTATGAAAACTATACAAGTTTTTGGTCAAAACATTGTGTGTGTCCAATACATTTATTTTCTGTTAAATTGGATTTTTCTGATCGTGGCCTAACTTGAGACAAAAATTATTGGTATATTTTTATTTGAAAATGTATACAATAACATTACATTTGTAACGTGCCTGAAGTTACGACTTTAATGGTGTCAAAGTTACAAAAAATAAACAATGTTAGTTCAATTTTAACGGCGAGGTGTACATGTACAAGACAGAATATATGTGCATTACATTTCAATATGAGCAGTAAAGGACCGAAATGAGTTCTTCCCTTTTAATTACTAGTAAGATTAATTAATACGATAGTATTATTAACATGAGTGTTTTCTTCATTTTATGACATTTTATAGATATTAGTCCCTCTATCCCGAGCAAAGATTCTCATGTGATTTACCATGTTTGGCTGGCCTTAAAGGCAACTGATCTTTGTCAGTAATAAGAGCACTTTTAGTAAATAAATTTTACATATTCATAAATTACATTAAAAAAATTATAAAATCACAAAACACAAATTAGATAAAAGTTGAATACATAAAGTAAAAGATTAAGAAATATTTATGATGGCCGGAGAATAGTGGATGAGAACATTAATGGAGGTATGTATACAATAGTTTGCCTTTTATGAGTCGAGTTCAAACTATTTCAGTAATTTTGTTTAAAATATGATTTTAGATTGGGCTCCTATATGGGTCAAATAGAAAGCATAGTTGGTCCATAAGTTTGTGGACTTGTTTTCTTCGACCCACCCATGTGTCTGACTAGTGGAAGCATACTTCGTATT